AAATAATATAAAAATTAAAAATATTTTTTTCTCATTCCTAAATCTCATGATAAATATAAAATTATGTAAAAAAAATATTATAATTCAAATTTCATTTACATAAAAATTTTTCTTTCTAGTCTTATGAAATTTTTTAAAATAAAATTCCTTCTTATCATTGGGACTGTGTATATGAATATCATATAAAAGTAGTTTTACATGTATAAAAGAAAGATAGGTAAATTATTATAGACATATTTTTTAATTAAGAAACTTGTAAAATAATATATATTTATTACAAATTCTATTTTCTATTTTACAAATTGAAGGTTATAATTTCATGATATATGGATCTTTACATTATATGAGTTCGAACCAAATAAATTTTATTTACAAAGCTACATGAGTATACAAAAGTTTATTTTTGAAAAATGTAGAATAAAATTTATAACAAAAATAAGATCGATGAAGTTGAAACTTAAAGATTAGTTAATTTTAAAATAAGTATTTTATATATATGGACGTGTAATTTGATATTTTCAAAAATTAAGATATTTTAATGACTAAATATACAATATGGATTACTTTTTAAAAAATATAAATAAATTTAAGATAACAATTAAGATTAGTTAAACTACAAATTAAAAGTAACTAAGGTACAATTTATATATTATTTTATATAATTTGGATATTATAAAATGATAGGGATTTATAAGTCAAGTATTGGAGTTATATAATTTAATTTTTAATTAAAAAATATAATATAATTTAAATTACATGATACTTGATAAATTTTTTAAAAATAATAAAATAAAAATTTAAATAATTTATCTTGAATAGATGAATTTGAAGAACTAGAAAATTGTTTAAATTGAATTTTTATGTTTATAAAATTATAGTTGTGTTGAAAATAGTATTTTTTTCATGTACAAAATTAAATAGTTTTTTACATTTTAATAATAATAAATTTAATGCTCAATTTTTTGATAACCCATTCTATTAGTAACAAGTCATTTGATCAATTTTAATCTAATGGTTTATGTCTAATTAATTTAAATCTAATAGTGAAAAATAATTCTGTATTAGTAAAAAAATTTTAAATATGTATTTTAGTTCTACCCTGTTTTTTCATTTAAACAATAATGAACAGATAAATATGATAAAATTGGATAGAAAGTAGCAAGGCCAGTACTGTAGAAAAAGTTCGAGAGTTCTAATTTTCTCTTGAGAAATTAAAAATCTCATGCCGATATATCGTGGTTTATTCACCAGGGTTACCAGACTGGCAGCAACCAGCGGTTAAGTAAGACGGATATAAAATCATGAGTAACGGCCATTAACTTGGTAGACCAAAGAAAGTAATAGCACCACACGTAATATAGTGGTTTGATCTTTTACATCTTAGCCGTAACCGCTTGGTGAACCTAACTTTTTGGTTTTTAGTTCTAATTTTATTAAAAAAATCGCTAAGAAAATGCCTCATGGGGTCCACCCGCACGAACGGGTGTAGGGGCCACGTCATCAAATCTCTGTCGTTTTTCGTTTACGAATTTGTTTCGCCAGCTCACAATCAGGCTTAAGTAACTACCGGTAAAAGGCAAAAAGATAGTAAAAAGGATACGTTCACATAAAAAGGAAGAAAATAATTATTTCTCAAGACAATAATTAAATCATTATATTATTTTTTTAAAAAAAATATTATTATTATTATTTATACAAAACTCCTTTTAAATGTTTGTTTATAATTATTTTAATATTTTCACTAAATTCATAAATTTTAGTTGTTTCATAATGAAAATAGAGCTTCTTAGAGTGTTTATAATTTTATTTTGAACTCCCTCTTTGTAAATTTTAAAACAAGTGCACAGTATGTATTCGGAATTCTTGGATCTTGTGTGAGCAACAGTAACATAATTTCCTTTTGTTTTGTCCCAACTCCTCGAAACTTTTAAAAGCCATTCACTGCTCCTTGTTGGATTCAGCACTCTATGCTAATTTTCTTAGCCCTTCTATGCATTTTTTTTTTAAAAATTTTCATAATTAAATTTCTTAAATTTGGTGGTAGGTCTAAAAGCATTACTCTAAAAATCCATTTAGAAGCTCTTTAATCAAAAAAAAAAAAAAAATTGAATGATTCCCATAAAATTTGCAATTCCTCTAATATCAAATTAATTAGCTATGTTATGTATGTTAAATGAATAAAACTAGACAAAGAAAGGCCAAATAGAAAAGAGAATGTGATGTCTTAATCAAAATGTTTGGAAGAAAGTACAAAAAGGATTTATTTTCTTGATGAAAATTAGTAATTCATGGGATTTGATGTAGAAATAGTAAAACGTGAATCCCATAAATCCCATTCAAAGAAAAACCAATCCCATATTTTAAGGGTTTGGAACTGAAAAACACAAAGAAAATGGAATACAAAGTGCTTTGGTAGATGTTTTTCCCTTGATTTCACACATTTACCCCTCATTTCCACATTATTGACATACTACCACTTCATTTTAAATGGCCTAGAATCTTGAGTTTGTTGTGTGTTTCTTCTTTCAAAAATGTAAAATCAATAAAATAGTATCTCTACTTTGTTGTTATTCAACTTAATAATACTCCTTTTATTAATTTTGTTGTTAGTCCATTAAAAAAAGTCAAATAAAATATTTTTTTTTCCTCCAATTTTTCCTTTATCAAAGAAAGAATTTAATTATAAATGAACTTTTATTTATAAATTAAGATTGTTGATATCTATGATAAAATAATAAAATTTAGAGTTTGATTTCATGGCAACATGCAAAAATATTAATTTTAACCAAGGTAAAAATTGTTATTTCATTACAATTTAATAGAAAATTAATAGAATGATTATTTAATTGAACGGCAAAAAAATAAAACTATTCAATTTTAAATTAAATATTCCGATATAAAAATTTCACTAAATTATAAGTGAGTAACAGTAAATTAACTTTAAAAAAATTGATGAAATATTTCTACTAATATTAATGGAGATCAACCGCTCAAAGCTCATGTGAAATTTACAACAATAACATTGTTACAATAATAAGGATTTATTCGATAAATTTAATTATTTTGATGGATATTAACTATTTTAGCGGCGCTTAACTATTAATTATTTAAGTCATTTTTTCTGAAACAATAAGAATTAAATGTTATAAAAAAATTACGTTTAGTCACAATGATAGCGTTACTTGAAAAGTTGTTACTAGCACAGGCCAACAGTCAAAAGGATGGATAAAATTTTGTTTTAGAAAAAAAAAAAAAGAAAAAAACATAGAAGTGGGTGGGTAGCAAAAAGGCAAAGCAAGTGGGTAAAGGTGGAGTCAAATCCAAAGCCCAAGAGAGTGGACCAAAGACCAAAAGCCCGGCCACCGAAACGGCGACACAAATGGGACCTCACGTGGGCGTTGTTGTTGGGCATGGGTTCCCACTTGCACGTGTGCTTCTTTTTGTACTTACATTTTGTAAATATTTGTGGTCTCTACTCTATGCCACTCTACCCGTGAACAACAAAAACAAAAATTGGACTTGTTGGTCTTAAAATAATAAAATAATAATAATGAAAAGAAATTACAGATGTGTTTTTTTTTACTCTATTTATCTACGAATATAAATCATTTTAAAAATATTAAAAAGAAAATAATAAACTTTTTTAATTTTATCCTTATATATATTAAACAAATTAATTATTAATCTTTTGTCCACAAATAAAAGTCGATTTAGTATAGTGTTTTTGTCCATAAATATTAATCTTTTTGAGAATATTAAGGAGTATTTTTTTTTGAAGATATATTAAGGAGTATTTAATGATGATATTCTAATTTTACCCATATTTATATTAAATGCAATATTTATCTCTATAATTTTTTGAAAAACGATTTGGTCAAATTAATGAACATTTTTTTATAACTTAAGAGAATAATTACTTTCTTAATCGTTATGCAATAATCTTAAAGGACTTATAATTATAAACGGAGAGAATAATTCATCATATGATAGTACTAAATTCTGTTCGTACTAGATTACTCCACTTAAAGATGAACAGTAATAAAAATGGGGATTAGCGAGTGTTTGTTTAATATGATGTCTACAAATATAAAAATTAAATAAGGTTGGAGAGAGCAGACCAGACCCAGTTGCCGGAACGGTCAAACACTAGTCATGTTTTCAGGATATTTGCAGATCCCAAGCTTAAGACAGCCTTACTCCTCACTCCCAACTAATTTAATATCAATGGATTATTGCTTACAGAAGCACACTAATTAGTTATTTCAATCCTAATCATATTATATATTTAATCTAATTAATTACTAGTAATTATCTCCAGGCTTTCTTTTGTTTGAAATGGGAGTACGAAATAATTGTTATTATTAAAAAATAAAATAAAATAAGAGGCTAAGAAGACAACACTAACAAATGCTTTCTAAGTACAAGTCAATAGAGCAATGCCAACTAAAAGAACACCAGAATCTGCAAACAAGTGCTGTTGGAGTATATTCCAATTTATCATACACAATAAATAAATAAATAAAACCTTAATAACAAAAACCCAAGTATAATTCAAACTCATACCCCACCTATCCAAGGTGAGAGTTAAATGAGCTGCCTATAGAGCCTAAAACGTTTATATTGTGAAATCCAGCAAGTAAGTAGTAAGTGAGAATCAAAACACAGCAAATTAGGATTTTTCTTTTTTCTTTTTTCTTTTTTTTTCCCAAAAAGTACTATTCATCGTTTGTTTTCTCTTACTAATTTCACTTTAGTGATGTGATATTATTTTATTTATTATAGTCTATTTTAAAAAATCTTTATTTATTTCTTTCTATTAATTGAATAGAGTGGGTATGTTAACTATTGGTATTAGCAACCCCAACTAGTTTGAAACTAAAACATTCCTCTGAAAAAAAAATATTATGATACAGAAATAACAAGAAAATGCATCTGTCATCTCTAGCTCATGACTTACCAATCTCAATAATGCAATACACATTGTTCTCGCACTAGTTATATATAGAAACACAACATAAACATCCATTTATGCAATCAGAATAAAAACTTCACCATAAGATTTATCAGCCAGAAATATTCAGAACATACATACTAAATAAGAAAACATTTAAAGACTAGCTTTTGATAATGGATTGGAGTTTGTATACTGCTTCTCCTAACTATATAACATCCAACAACAGAAAACTCTTCCAACAGTCACTTATGCTCTTTAGCATCTACTTTCATATCCCACATTATACTATGCAAATATGCTCAAGGGACCAGTCTTATTTGAAGCCTCTAGACCATTTTCGGCCCTTCGCATCCCAGTGACCCATGGCCTGCAAGAAAGATTATAATTATAGACTTTGATAAGTGAAAATTATGAAGTTTGACTTCCAAATGCAACAGTTCCAAAAATATCAATAGACAAAAAGAGAAAAAAGAAGAAAGAACAACCAAGTTTGGTTTTATTTTTGTTTCCCACATGCTCATTTCCTCCCAAAAAATGGAAATCCTTCCTTTTCTTTTTTATTTTTTTCGTTCGGCTTACCTTCCATTGTTGTCACTGCCAGCTGGATTCATCAGAATTGTCAATCTTCTTGCAGTTTTTGTGAAGACACTGCATTGCCAACAAGAGTGAAAAGAAAGGTTTAGTAAAAATAAACATAGCAGTAATGAAGCCAGCTGCAATCTATAATCCAAAGTTTTTAGCTGTCAGATTTTTATTTTACGAAATCAAGCTATTAAAATGTGCAAGACAAAAAGATGACAGATGAGTAAATAACTTTTCTGTTTTTCATTCATGATCGTACCTGAATGGTTCTTCTCCAGTCTGTTTAACAGCACCTTTTGCATCTCGGTAGAGCACATGGCTCAACATCTCTGATCTTTCTATTCCAAACATGTTAGCCAGCTTACTGTGCAGCTCTTCATAGGAACTGAGAACAGATAGGTCAAGGGTCCGACCCACATCCTCTGATTCCAAGAAAACCTTGCAGTGACCAGCATCTAAGCCAGTTTCAGTAGAACTCTGCCATGAGAACCCAGTACTGGCCGTTTTTTCCGGTGAAGTTTGTTTCTCTGGTGCAGATCCTAAAACATCATGAATTTTTGCCTTTTCTGGACTCTCATCAGAATAAGTTTTCCCAGTAATAACTTGTGATACTGCATCAGTGGAACAGCTACAAGAAATCTGCTGCTCAGTGAGTATCGGTTGACCAAAGAGTAGAAATTGGTGCCTCTTCACATTATCTGATTTATCTGAATTTGTGTTAGAGTTCCCCATTGTCAACAAGCAAGATATATTCTCATTGCTGTTAGTTTGGCCTTTCACGAAACTTTCAGAAATTCTAGAATGTGAATTGAACCGCTGGAGACTGGATAAAAACATCCCTGACTGCAGTTTGTTGTTAAGTTGGAGATCTGATAAAGATATTCCAAATTGAGCATGCCTGGCTCCCTGTATGCCTGCAGGAGTGTTATCAGATAGACAACACAAGGGGCTGCTAGGCCCAAGGGGGTTGCCTGAAAATGACTGCCATTGTAATTGGCCGTCAAGGGGAAAGTCGAAGTGTTGCGGGACCCGCAACTTCTTTCTTGGCGGTGAAAAGGGTGATAGGTGGATTACTGGCATATTTGAAACCAATTCAACCAACCAAGGGCTGACGCGTTTTACATTTTGTAGTAAATCTGGTTCATCCCATGTCACCTGCAATGAAGATTTGCAGATATATGTAAGGACCAAAAACAAAAGAGATGGCAAATATGCATAGGAACTGAAGATTCAGTATTAAACTTGGAAATGATTCTGAATTAATAATTACCCATATAAAATCTATGAAATTGCATGCTAAAAGTACCAGATGCATTAATGTTTTTTAATTTTGGTGATCTAAGAATCATTTAAGAATCACAAAATGACAGATAGATCAAACAAGCATCAAATTTGTGCATAATGTAGTTAATCTCCAAATAATTTATATGTTCAACTGTAGATTATATATTTCTGGCAACTTACATGATAGACATAATAATTTATACATCATTTATTGAATATGCTGTGTCAGATTCTCCTATCTGTTTCCATATGGAGCTTATTAAACAATTAAAGAACAACTTTTACAATTTCTGTCAGGTAGCATACAGTATATGAGATAATAATCACCGTACAGATTGCCAAATCACAACACTCAGGTAATGCGGACCTTCTCAATCAATATGGTACAATACTACTATTTTAACATAAATGAGCAGGTCCAGTAGCCATAATGTTATCTGTTTCAACTTATAAGAATCTTCAACTAAGCACAGTTAAAAGTTCCCACCATTGATTCAAAGAAATTTACTCATTACTGCTATTTGATAACATTAACAAGCATTACTCTTAGCATATAACGTCTTCAGATATCGAACGAAAGACCCTTTTAAAACAAACAAACAGGCTGATTGTTGCAGTGTATCACTGGCCAATTCCCAGTAATAACCTAGTGACTCCGGTGATCATTAGCGGCCACTACCACTGCCGTTCGGCCACTACCACTGCACACGAGACGACTAAAACTGTCATTTTCCTAAACTGGTTCGCTTAGCAACGATCACGATAATCATTTTGGCCACTATATATTAACACAACTTATACTCATTTTTCTAAACAAATTTATAATCCCTGATTGTGCATAATACAGTTTAGCCTGGCAGACTAACAAGACTAATACTGTCATTTTTCTAAACAAATCGACAAAAGCTGATTATGACTAATAATGTCATTTTTCTAAACAAGTCTCGAGACAACAAACACGCTCAGGGTTTAGATTTGAAACAAAATAATGCAAATCTAAGCATTTAACATGCAAATAAAGATCTTAAACAGTACAAGATAGATAATAAGTAAAAAAGAAAAGTGTAGAACCTGAAGAAGCCGCCAAGGAGAATTAGGCCAGCGAATGGGATCAGCAACTTGAACAGATGCAACAGTTCCCATAAACCAACTAATCCTTGAAGAATCCTCTGTTTCAAACGCCATCTTAAACCTCATACCACAACACCACTGAATTCTCATTGCAGCCCTAACTGAAGATGCCTTAACACAAAACTCAGGCGTACTTGCTCTTGGATAATAAACCGCCTCAAACGGCTGTCCGTTGGCCGCAAGCGCCGCCGCCTCTAATACCTCTTCAGCCCTAACTCTCCCTCTCCCTCTCAACAATCCTCCTACATTTCTTTTATTCTCATCTTCTTTTAAGAACAGAGAAAACCCACCATATGGGTTTATGCAACTACCGTTGGTAGTACTAGTCCAACCGGACGGCGGCGATGAATCAAGCCCATTTCCACCAGTTCCACGCTTTGCACGGCGGATTCCGAGGCAAAGATCGCCGCTTTCTGCTCTTAAAAATACAATTGAATCTCCAGCAACTAATTTCTTTTGATTAACAAAAGTACTCCATCCAGTAGTCAATAAATGCCTTCTTGGTGTTCCCCTATAAATATGCCTGAACTTCCATACCTCGCCGTGCACATCTTTAGCAACCACTGTTTGCACTGGCGGATCCGCGGAATAATCTAACCGAGGAAATATCGTTTCTGCACAGTATCGTGGAACAGAGAAACCTCCACCATTGTTAGCATCTGATTGAGTTAATGTTTTTGCAAAAGAAGCTGGCTTTTCTGTGTTATTGCCATTATTATTATCGCAAATACCCATTTCTTCTCCAAAATTAAGCTCGTTGTTTGGTAATGGGAATAAGCTAATCTTCGCGTACACTTCATCGGTTTCTGAATCGGCTAGATATTTGACGGCGGCGACACGGCAAAGGATCAGAGCATGAATTCGCGGGGAGGAGGAGAAATCCACAGGCGATTGAGAGTGCTCGGCGTGGCCTTGTGGGAAGTAGAAGACTTTGGAGTTAATAGGAGGGATCTGTACCATACTTCCGGCGCAGGCGTGCCATAACTGCGGATCCAAGCCCTTATCCAACTCTTTCATTGCAGCGGAGTTGAGGTGGTGATGGTTGTAGTGGTGGTTGTGGTGGCGGAGAGAACTCTAAAAATACAATGAAAGAAAATCAAAATCTAAACTAAAAAAATTTAGAAAAAAAAAAACAAATCGAAAACCTTTTTATGATTATTGAAGTGAAGGAAAAACTAACACTGAACAAAATAAACTAAGCAAACAAGAAGAAACTGTTTCTCTCTGTTTTACTCTGCTCTGTTACTTCCAAAAATGGAGAACTTTCCAAACCCTCTGCCCACTGCAATCTCCTTTATGATGAATCAAATTCAAAGATTCACCATTTACTCAAACATAAAAAGAAGGAAGAAAAAGAGAACATTAAATAATTTCCTGAAAAGAAGAATTTCCAATTCCTTTTATCAAATTCAAAGGGAACCCAATTCCTATATTGAGCTTGAAACAGCTCAGTCTAATCTCTTCTTCTTAAAAAAGCAGAATTTTTGAACTACGTGACAGTATATTTCCATGCAGAGACAGACAGAGAGACATTAATCGCCGATCAGATACTTAAGCAGAAGCTAAGCTATCAATCAACAATTTTTTACCATTCAAAAACCCAAATTTAAAAATCACTAAACTCCAAAACAAAAGCAACCCTTTTACTCCTTTCTTCCTATTATTCAAATATTTTTGTTTTTATTTTTGTTGGTTTCTATCAGATCTCACAAACTCCAAACACACTCTCTCTCTCTTTATGAAAGCCTTCTCTCTCTACAGAACAGAAAGGAAACAAATAAAGAAATGTTGAATAGACACATTAAAGTAAACAACTGTTAATTTATTGAACTAGGGAATTTGTTGCCAGTTAAATTTATTTATTTATTTTTTACAATCTTTTCTATTATGTCGTGATATATAGTGGATCAAAATATCGCGATTTTTTACGCACTGAATTCACAGGACAAAATCCATAACTTAACCATGGTTTAGTTTCCTAAAATTAAGAAAAATAAAACTAAAATTAAAGTTAACAGGGCCCATTGGATTGCCGGTCCAGGTTACTGTTTTATTATTTTATGAAATATAAGCATTTAGAAATTAGAAATATGAAATATAAGCATTTAGAAGATATATACCAGGTTACTGTTTTATTATTTTATGAGAATAATAAGCATTTAGAAATTAGAAATATGATATAAGCATTTAGAGATATATATATATATATATATATTATATATATATATATATAATATATATAATATATAATATATTATATATATTGTTTTTCTAATTGCAAGATTTTTTGTCGGAATTGTTATTGCAGATTTTTTGTCGGAATTGTGTACGTAGTGCTGACTCGAAGTAGGCTAAAAAATAATTCTGTATTTTTTTTTAATACTTGGAAAGTCTATAGGTTAAAATAATATTATGGGCTACACTGCTGAGGGTAGCTCTTTTCTTTCAATAGCATTTATCAAATTAGTAAAATTTTGTGATAAAAAAAAATTCAAACTCAAACCCTCTCATTCTACACATCTTCAACAAGACATGGAAAGACCAACAAAACATTAACTAATTAACAATTTTATATTTTTTCTATTAATAGGTAAATAAAACATTTGTAAAAGGACGAAGTACAATTTTGCTGAACTAATATTTCTATATTTGTATAGATTAATTTTTTTCCATATACTAGTTTTTTTTTTTTTTTCTTGGCTTGTCCGTAACACTGTAAAGTAAGTGGAATTTGTTTTCTGACATTTGAAAGGAATGCAGATCTTTTTCCCCACACACACACACACAAAAAAAAAAAAAAAACACAAAAAAACACACACACAAAAAAAAAAAAAAAGTTATCATTTTATGAGAAATGAAAAATCAACCATAAAAATTAGTGGAAGTGAAATGCATTTTCAAAAAAATTGTCTTTATAAAAGTTAGATATTTAAGATTTATCATGAATACACTTGTCCGGAAAAAATAAGCCAAATTAAAAGTAAATTATCTCTATTATGTAATGAAGAAAAAAAAATTATTTTCATAAATTAAAATTTTCAAAAATATAGATTAACATAGTTTGTACAACATTACCATGATTTTAATAAATGGTTCTAAAAATATATAAGTTAACATAGTTTGTTAAATATTGCATAATTTTGATAAAATGAATATTTTATTTTTGTCTCATATATGTATTTTTTTAAAAATAAAAAATCTTCTAATACTTCATAATAGTAATATATAACTAATTCTTTGGCTTACATGTATACCCTTTATATATGTATGCTTTATATATTATTGTGAATATTAGCCAATTAAATGTGCTATCAAGACGGCAAATTCATGCAAAGAATTGTATTACTTGTTTCGAGGTAAGGCAAAAAGAGGCCTTACATAAATATAAAACGCATTTTATTCCCAATTTCAAGATAAGGAAAATTGAATTTAACTAAATCAATTCCGTTGGATTTAATGCTAAATAGAATTTCGATTTGATTTAGTTAGAACCGAACCGATTAAATTTCCAAACTAAATATAATATATACACCGACATGACATGATAGGCATTGGACAGTGACATTACATAAATTCTTTCAATTCAAAGAGCTAAAAAAACAATTCACATTGAAGTGTCCTAACATTGTTATAATAGAATCTCTATCCTCATTTTCTCATGTTGATTGATTCAGTGACAATCTGGTCATCCGTCAACCTCTAATTACTCTATTTCTACATAATACAATTTGATTTTTTTTTTTTTTTTTTTTTTTTTTTTTTTTTTTTTTTTTTTTATGTCCCCCTTCCATATTCATACGTATTTGAAATAATAATGCTAAAAATGGTAATTAAATGGATATTCAATAGTATTTTGGAATTTGCTTATCTCATAACTGGACTTCTTTATAAGTATTTTGTTTTTTTTTTTTTTTTTTTTTATGTCCCTTCATATTCATACGTATTTGAAATAATATGCTAAAATGGAATTAAATGGATAATTCAATAGTATTTTGGTATTTGCTTATCTCATAACTGGACTTCTTTATAAGTATTTTGGTATTTGCTCAGTCGCTCAACCAGTGTAACAAAAATATAGATTTCGATTTTTTTTTTTTTTTTGCCTTTTTCTATTCAAGCTAAATTCTGGTTAGGTTCGCAATAAATCCGATTTGATTTCGACTAGACTTGTTCACCCATATCTATAGGCTCAATTAGGTTTATGTTATGTATAGAAAGGATTACGTAATTAAGTATAATTTGGGATACTTAAAAAAATTTCATGTGGCTAAGTCACTCTCTTAGTAGCATCACCATTCCAAAGTTCCCTTCCTAATTAAGCAAATTACTAAAATAATTGTGAAGCTGAAGAGAGTTCATTTTTGTTTTGTTTTAAAGAATTCAAGTTTTGTCTTTGCTTTAAGACAACTACTTCTTTCTTATCTACTTAAAGACTTGGATTGAAAGCTCAATTCAAGGGTCGAATCAAGAAAATCACACATACACATAAATGTACATATAGCTAATTGATGAAAATACGTTTTGTCAGAACATTTTCTGATAATCACAATCCTAATTATGTATTATAGAAACTTAATTATGATGATTAGCAAGAAGTACAAAAGAAAAACCCAATTAAAGAAAAGAAATTGAAAGGTTTTGGTGAAGTAACAACATCAATACCGACATTCAACATCAAGACAATCAGTTAGACAATTAAGGGCAACTTGAAAGCTTGTTCTTCTTATTAGTATATAGAGAGATAGATAGGAAATTAACCAAAAGAAATCTGTTGGTGAAAGAATCGATATCGACACAATATATATATTAATCACCAACTTCATTCAAATACCTTCTTATCTTTTATATTCATCTGCATGTTTTATTTTTATAGAGCAAAATTTATGTACGACTGTGGAGTTAAGAGTCCCGTTTTGTTTGCCGTAGCCGTCCCTCGTACAAGGTAAATGACTTTAAAAAAAAAAAAAAAAATTTAAGTTCCATTATTAGATTATTAATACCAATTATAATTAGTAAAATATTATAATCTTTAATTAAAATTAAGCTCGGATTTGCCTTGATATAATTAATAAATCTCGGTTTTGAAGTTGAATCTCGAATTGAATAATAATAAAATAAATTAATTTTATATAAATGGATTTCAACATCCATAAACTTGCAAGTCTATGTATAATGGATTTTCAACACTTATAAATCTATCTAATCCTAGTTTTTATTTGGAACTGTAGCTGTTAATCAGCGGTAGCCTCCTACTTTCATTTTTTCTTCTCGCTTCTAATATTTTATTGGCTCTTAATAAACTCAGATATATATTTTTTAACAAGTCTATTTTTTTCTTTTTTTTTTTATTATTGCTAGTTTGTCTCCATATTTGAAGTTCTTTTGTCTCTTCTTCTATGAGAGTTTAATTCCTTCTTTATGAAAGTTTGTTACTAAAATGTATGATATTTGATTTTATTCGATTGGAGAATCTAGAGCTTGTTTTATTGATGTGTATTTTCGATCAATTGAGCTTGATAATGCAGCATGTTCCTTCATTGATGTTACTAACGCTTAGTGGTATAAACTCATCCATGTACGTCATATACACCAAGTTTTTGGACCTTGTTTTACTGATGTGTATTTTCGATCAATAGAATCTAGTAGTGCAGTTTGTTCCTTCTTTGATGTTATTAACACGTAGTGGCTTGAACTCATCTATGTACGTCATATGCACCAAATTTTTGGAAAAGCTATCTAATCATAGAAGATCCGAAGAACTTATTTTATCGTCCAAATCAATTAAAAGATGAGTTACTACTATGAAGATTAATATCGGTCAAAATCTTCTTCAAGCGGAAAGGTCCAATATTATTTCTTTTAATTTTAATTTTATTATTTAAAAGAATATAAACAATTCTTTTGATTTGTATGAAAACTCACCGTACTCTCTATTAATTATAATAGTAAATTATACGTATGATCTAATTGAGTATTTACAATACTTGATTTTATTAATCTTAATTTTATCCTGGATGTTAATACACTAGCTAATTACATTATTATTCTCGTAATAAAATTTTCTTTTCTCTAATGAAAAATCAACTGCGTAGGTGTTTATGTAACAGTCTTGTCTTGATTAGTCCATTCTATGTGGGCAAAACAGTTGGGTGTTGTAATTGTAAACCTAAAAAGTTGTGACAATAATATGTTAGAGAAGCAATTGTTCATCTTTTATTACATAATAAAAGGCTAAAAGCACGCGATTTAGCCCCCATTTTTCCCTTTTTGTTTATTTTTTTTTATAGTAATAAACCTAACTTTGTTTTCTGGGTCCCACCTTTCCTCTCCTCTATAAAACGACAATCCAACTGATCCAAACTGTCGCTGCCTGATACACTTTGCAGAACATAAGCGCACGCTAATCTGATTTTCGCTAAAGTGCACCGTAAGTGCCAATAAAGTTACAGCTAGAGACAACCCGGCAGCTTTGGGTCGTACGAAAGTTGACTAGTGTGACCTGGCTAAATTATCTGACACCTGGCAGAATCATAGTGGGGATTTTGAACTTATGATGATGGGATGGGACATTGCAATGGGATTGTAGGCCAACTGCTTGAACAAGCCAGGAATCTCTGTCGTTTTGTCCTCAGATGGCACAGTAAAAGAAGAGAAAACTGCTTGACTCGGACGGGTTGACCCGGTAGTGAGGATTGTTTGAGTCGTCCTGATTGAAAACTGTGGGCTAAGGTACGAAGAAATTGAATGATGAACCAATGGACTACGTGTCAATGTCTAAATCCGCCATTTCAGAAACTAAATCATAGCCACTACAGACAAACATGCCAAAGTGGCTTTGTCTGCTTGAATGTCGCGTGACAAGCATGTGAGCTCCAATTTTTTTGTTATATGTCCTAATTTCTCAATCTTTTTTACGAGAAAATTAATTACTACATACTACCACAATTATTCCATTAATTTTAACCTTTTTTTTTAATTCCATTTATATGACACTTTTTAAAAAATTAAAACGGTATTAATTATTTTATTTTTGTTTAAATATCTCCATTAAATTTTATTTCTCTTAATTATAGAAATTAATAAGAGGTAATTAAATTACCTTTATTTTTATTCAATAATTCACTTAATTTTTGTGAAAAATCAAAATTATCAAAAGTAACAGAACCAAGATAGTAATTGTTTAAGTGATAAGTTTAAAAAAGTTGTATTTTATCACAATTATTGCCATTGGGTTATTAGAGAAGTAGTTGATTATACATCTCATAATGTAAAAGTCATAAATTTAAGCAGTTGGTAAGTGGGAAATGGATTATATCTCTAAATAAATTTTATTCGTAAGATCAAAATCTTCGATGTAAGATTACCATTATAAAAAGAACTTTTAACTGAATATCACATCTTAATTTGATATGTGTATGATTAAAAAAATTAGATATATTGGCTCCGTTCGATATCAGTTTTTTAAGATAGCTTTTAGTATTTTAACTAGATTAAAATAGTATTTTTATCCGTTATAGTGTTTGAAAATATAATTTATATAGTAGCTTTAAAAAGTTAAAAGAGAGTTTAATGAAATGTTATCCCACTCAACCTTTAGCATTTCACGGTATTTAATGGATTATTTTTTCACACTTACATCCATTACTTCTTTACAGATTAAGAAGCTTTGATGTTAATATAAAACCGTTTTCTTTGCTTTTTTACCATTTTAAATTTAACAACTTATTAAATAATTATTTTTATCGAACATTTTCACTTTAAACCCTTATATAGACAGTTAACAATTATTATAACAGTTAATATAGCGGATCAGAACCATTAAATTTCGCTTCTCTTTTTCTCTCTCCATTAAGTGAAAATTAACAATTTTTTTCTTTTTAAAGTTGTTACCCTAAATTGAAGTTTGAGTGGTCTAATTAGATTGTGGTTTAAGAGAGCATGTGATGATTAGCTATAAAATCAAATGAGTAGAAAGGGATATATTGCCAAATTTTCCAATGAAAAATTGATATTTGCATAACCAAACTAATGAAAAGGGTGCCAAATGTTTGTTGCAAGTTTGGCAGGTGAACTATAATAATATCAAACGCCTCATGATGAGAAATTCCTCAATTTTGTGTCTTCTTAGATTTTATTTTATATTCGTCATTTTATTAATTTGTTTATAAGTTATTATTTTGAATAATATTATATTGCATTTTGATATCTAAAATTTTAGAATTCAATAACACTTCAATCCTAAGTTGTCATATTAGTTTTATTTTTATGTTTTTCGTTGATAAAAATAAAGATCAAATACATAAATTCTCTTTTATATATTTTACTATAAATTTTGTGACATTTCGGACTTTATAAGAAATCAATATGTTCCTAAAATTAAGGATTTTTCTAACAATAATTGTTGGAGTTCTTGGCTTTTTATGTGCAAAATATTGATTTGCTATTTAGTTAATAACAATTTCGGAACAATAATTTTCACATTTTGAGAAGTGTTCAACAAGTCAAAATAAAAAGTTGAGGGTAACACAAAATTTTCATAAAAAATACAAAGCTAAATTTATGTGTTAACTTAAATATAAAGATGAAACTTTTATGAAATTAACCCATATATTAATACTTTTTGAGAAGTGAAGTTCACGTTGATTAATGAAAAAAAAAATTATAAATAAGTGGTTTTTGTATATAATACGAGTTTAAACAAATCATGTCATGGGTTGAGCATAATCCGTTTAATTAAGGGTAAAATGATATATATATATATATATATATATAGGGTTGTACGTGTTATACATATCCAATTTTTTTGACTCATGTACAATTCATTTAATTAAATTAATTGCATTTTTTTGATCCAATTACGATCTATTTAATTAAACGGATTACAGATATCGTATTTATGTAATTTATTTAATTTTAATATCATATTCATATTTAAATATTTGACATAATTATTAAATGGATAGTATTTATATTGACCATAATGGTATTGCATGTGAGAAAGATTCGTGATGAACTTAACATGTCAACTCATTTTGACACCCTAAAAAATTATTAAGCATGACTCTTTGCCTTTCTCTAAATTATTATTATAATCTTGGAGGAGAGATGATTTACGGGAAAGTACTGGTGAGATACCGAATACAAACGGATCAATGTTTAATTTATTGAAATTGATTGCATTGTACAATTTATCTAAAATTAAACTTTGAAATTGATTTAACTATAATTTTAATTAGAAAGACTGTGCCTATTTTTATTCTAAAAAAAAAAGTATCTATTTTATATTGATACTTATATCATCTTTCAATAAGTAGTAATGTGTTTGGGTTGGGAAAAAATATATATATTATGGGTTCTTTAATTATCTATCTCTTATGCATGTTGATCAACAAAATAAATGAACCAAATTAATCTTTTAATTGAAAATTTTCTATTAAAATCGACCTAAAAGCTCAATTTTAGCAATGGAATATCACGAAAAAAAGTTCAAAAAATAGAGTATTATCTCAGGTACAAATGATACAAAGACGATTAATTAGTTTTCAAAATAAAAATTGTGACTAATATATTTATTATGATATAAAAATTAAATAAAAAGCAAGAAGATAAAATTAAAGGATAAATACATTTAAGTCGTTAAATTATATAGTAATTAAAGCTTTTTTTCCTCTATTTTTAAAAATTATGATACCTTCTCTAACATATGCTTAAACTAACTATCAGGTTTTCTGTTCAAAATTAACATTTTTTAATAAAAAAACTGAGTATATTTCATTCAAAAAAAAAAAAAAAGTGTTTCACTTATGGTAAATTGCTGACTTCTTGGACAAAAGTACCTAATAATTAATTTAAGCAAAAACTAAAAATATTATAGTAATTTCCAAAAAATAAAGGGACAATAGTGTTAATGGATATACTTTAGCAATCCAAGTGTATTTTACTCAAAAATAAAAAAAAGTGTTAAAGTTGTCTTAGGACGGGCTCTACTGTGGTGGGCTGAAAACCGCAATACTATAATCATGTAGGAAGGCGCAGCGTCTCCTATCAGTATTTGGGATCGTGCAGCCTATGGGGATGTCTTAAAGCGGGACATTAACATATGATCGGTGGCCCGAGCCGAAGAGACAGTAACGGATACACCTAGTAATCCTTTTTTTAATTAAAAAAAAAAAAAAAAAAAAAAAAAAAAGTGTTAAAGTTTGGTCTTAGGATCGGGCTCTAACTGTGGTGGGCGAAAACCGCAATACTATAAATCATGTAGGAAAGGCGCAGCGTCTCCTATCAGTATTTGGGATCGTGCAGCTATGGGGATGTCTTAAAAGCCGGGACCATTAACAAATGATCGGTGGCCCGAGCCGAAGAGACAGTAAACGGATTAACACCTGTAATCCTTTTTTTAATTAAAAAAAAAAAAAAAAAAAAAAAAAAAAAAAAGGAGACCAGACATACTAAGTACATGCTTTTAGACCTAACAGTAGAAAACTGGGACGATTCCAACTTCCTAGCTATATAGCATTATAGAAAGTAGAAAATGTGGTAATTTTTTCCTTTTGAGCACCAAACCACCTTTTATTTATTTGTTGTTTCAGGTTGTTCTTTTTAATTCACGCCCAATGAGTCAAAATAGTACTATGTGATGCACCTAGGGGTTAGCTATCATATTGACTTATCAAATTGGTGAAATCAATTCTGGTAAAAAAACTCGAGATCTCTCATCCCTCGTATAAACGAGAAAGACTAATAAGAGAACTACCTTTTATTTAGACAAAGAAAATGTCCACTGGGCTTAGGCTCAGGCTTTGGGCTCTTCCTATCTGGACATCTATAACAACATAGCCGATAGCCCTCTAGAACACTTGATGTTATTGCACTCATTTGCCATTCAACTAAAAAAACCTAATATGACAGAAAAAGACATTGTGTGTATTGTTTGTTTTACTAGTGTCTGTAGGAGTTGTTATGCTTAGGTATTTGCATTCAATTGTACTGAGTTAAGGATGACAAGTTAGGAAGCGTAGTACAAAGGACAAACTAGGGGAAAAATAGGCAGCATCCATCCTACAAGGACAAACCAATTGGGTTTAAAAGTTTAGAGAAGGCAATAACTTCTTCGATAAAAGTCAGATGAAATAATTATTATGCACTTGTCTTTCTCTCTCTCTCGGTTCAAAAGACAACAAGCATGCAATTAACTGCCACTGCCTAGGCTATCAAATAGCAGCTCCAACTTTATTATTTATTGACTGATAACCAAATAGACAAATCTCATTATCAGAAGCCATAAAGCTATGATTCCCAAAAAGAAAGTCAAAAAATCCGATCACTCTAAGCACAAGCAATATGTACAAATAAAAAACCATTTGATTAGTGAAACTTAACCATTTCAAGAATCAGCCTGCAAAACCAACTAGACAAAAAACAAATACAACAAAGTACAGAAGAGTCTACAAATTTGAGACCTGATATCCACTTATGTAAATAAGCAGAGAATCAAATGTTTAGCGTCACTAATGGGCATAAAGCATCAATAAACCCTACTTCTAAACATCTAAATTACATTTCTCTGCTTCACTCAGATATTCACCAAGATACTCACTACTCTACCCTTCTTTAACTTTTCGCTGCTGCCAAACATCTAATCATCTAAAGGTTCCTAGTTCTTATTTCTTTAATGTACAAAAAGAACAAACCAACCAACAGAAAATAGAAAACTGAAAATAGAGAACCGGACAGCTCCCAGCTAACAAAGCTACTTTTCCTAATTAATAATCAAACAAATAGCTATCAAAATGAATATTCTGGTACTGTTGGAAGCGATGCGTCCATTGCAGCCGTAGTTGTCATTGGCCGAGTAGTCTTCTTTCTCATCTCGACGACCTTCCTGTGGGAGTTAGAGTGCAATGATGGAACAAAGGTCGGACTAGCGGCAGGACGGTACTCTGGGAAGAGACGGCCCGACCTGTAACGAACCCCACAAGCATTGCAAAGCGTTTTTGGCCCCATAGGCCCTTCTCTCCATTGTGGAGTCTTGGTTACCTCACAATGTGTGCATTTTCTGATTTCAATAGGTTGTTGTGTCGATGATTTCTTCATCTCTACAGTACAAGACAACAGCATTAGATTCCTTTTCTTCTTCTGTTTTCTCTTGGCAACGTTCAACATTTTCTCATCAGGACAGGATTCTGTTTCCGATTCAGAACCCAAAGGATGATATTGTTTTGGAGCATATGAGATGAATGGGAATGTACGCCGATGGGGATGTGGGCGCTTGCTTCGAGGGCGCTTGCTTCGAGGGCGCTTCACTGGGATGACAAATTTGGGATGTTGGACTACTGCATTTTCTGCTGAGGAAGAGCTGCTGCTGCTTTCAAGGACAGAAACTGGACTGGAGGTCCAGAAAAGGCGTGAATATTTAGCCTCTGAAGAGTCATAATTAAGGGGAATGCCTCTGCCAGAGGATGCTTCAGCAGTGCTGGGCCACTGTTTTGGCTGAGAAGATTCATCATGCTGAGCATCAAATAAAAATTCAATTAAAAAATTATTACAAAGATGAAGTTTCTAATGTCTTCCACAGAATTACAAAACAAAAGGAGAGGTTGAACACCTAAAAGCATATTTAAGTATGATATCAGCACACTTTCAAGAGCAGTGACCAAACAATATCTTGATACACATGTGTGAACACCTTGGGGCCTCACACCATGCTTCAAAATTGTTTCAATCAGTTTCAATGTCATTTCCATGTGGCCTTGCTTGTGGCCAAAAGCCCTTAAAGATTTTATCTAAAAGGAGAATAGATTATTCAACCGAGATTGGAAAATCAACCCAAAAAATAACAATTATATATATTACTAAATCAATTAATATGAATAATCAGCAGCACCGTCGACAGGAAGCAGTTTACTTCAACCAAGAATGTAACTGTAAGAAAATGTAATCACAACATAAAGCTTCTAAACTTTAGCCAGATATTCTCAGGTAACTCTGAGCCAATAAGCAGTTCCAAATTGTTCAAATTATAAAACTGGATTTTGTAAAGTCTCAATAGTTCCTAAAAGGTCTATTAGATCAACTTAGCACCTACTTGTTGCTAGTGTCTGATGAATTCAAGCTTCATCCTGGGTATTCCATCTTTATCTCAAGACATGGTGTGAAAAATGGTAATTGCCATCAAGGATCAACACTACCTCTCAGCATAAATGTTTGCTTCCCACTATCAATCTAAAGGTAAAAAAAATGACAAAAAAAAGATCGCCATCCTGAGCTTATATAATGTGATCTTCCAGCAATTCAATCATACTTCATTTTCATCAATGACACTTCAACTACAGGGCAAGAAGTAGGCTGGACCATGTTGGACAGATGTCCTTGTTATGCTATATACAGTTGAATCCAACAATCTACATGGGCCCATCATGGTTGGTATTTTCATTTCTCAGGAGCTACTTAAACTACACACAACATACCAAATCATAGTATTGTTATTTTAATTCCTCTTCCCATCTTCTATGACACCACCAACCACTTTAGAACAAATTCAGACTTCTAATTGCTTAATACTTCAAAGGCTTCATGATTATAAGGCTTCCTTAATTAACACTGTAAAAGTACGATGAACAGTTGCCATGACATAATACTAACATGCTTTACCAAACATCCCAGTGATTCTTTTAGCTTCTTCAATATCCTACCAGTCATGTTGTGTAGTGGAACAACAGCTTCTCATTAGATTATATTAACTATTCTTAATTTCTTCTGGTTGTCCAATGGATGTTCATTTGGTTTCTCCTTTTTCCTCAATGGTCTCCAAAGCTATTTGAAATACAGTTCCCATTCAATGCAGTAATTCAGAGTTGTCTTCCATCTTGGTATTGTTTGTTCAAATTACAAATTACAAAAATCAAGCATCCGGACTTCAGGATAGCAATGACTACTATGTAACAGAACATATGTTCACACTTTTTTCAAACTAGCCAAGATATATTTCATTCAATAACTAAATGCAAATGCATTTATATGATTATGTACAAAGATATAAGAACAATCACATATTGGAAACTTTTCAACAAACCATGCCAAATAAATGTCGAGCCAGAGAGTCACCACAGATGGATACTGCCACAGAGAACCTATACCTTCCAATATGTGATTGTTCTTATCTCTTTTGTCATAATCATAAAAATGTCGATTTGCGAAAATTTCAACAAACCATTGCCAAATAAAATGTCGAGCCAGAGAGTCAACCCACAGATTGGATTACTGCCACAGAGAAACCCTATACCTTCCAATATGTGATTGTTCTTATCTTCTTTTGTCATAAATCATAAAAAATGTCGAGCCAGAGAGTCCACCACAGATGGACACTGGCCACAGAGAACCTATTACCATTAAAAATTTGAGTTCAAAAAAGGAACCACAGATATCATGGAGCAGTACCATCTCCTTCAATGTAGAATAAGCAAGCATTAAGCATTTCATAACTCCACATATAATGAGGACCAAACATGCCTTTATTACAAATCATTCTTCTAACTTGGAACGGTAAATAGAATGTCGAGCCAGAGAGTCACCACAGATGGACACTGCCACAGAGAACCTATACCATAAAAATTGAGTTCAAAAAAGGAACACAGATATCATGGAGCAGTACCATCTCCTTCAATGTAGAATAATGCAAGCATAAGCATTCATAACTCCACATATAATGAGACAAACATGCTTTATACAAATCATTCTTCTAACTGAACGGTAAATAGATAAAAGTCCATTTATTGGCCACGTTACAGTTTAAGGAAATCTTCCCGAAAGCAGAATCCACATTTACCAGGGACTCTAACTGAGGGCACAATTTCAACTCTCTAACTATGAAATGACTAAATTCATAATCCATACAAAGATAGACAATTTCCACACATGTAACAAACAAAATTTATAAAACTCACCAAAACTGAAGAGCTTTTCTTTACTTTCAAAATGTCATTGCCATTTTCACCACAAAGACCAGCCAAAACATTTGATGGTGGTGGCACCAACTGTTGAAATTTAACTTCCCAATCTTCGCCTAAATCATTCAATTCTACGTTCTCCAATGGAAAATCAAGGAGCTCCATGGCATCATCGAAAAAATCATCCGGCACGCCATTAAAGTTTTCGTCAAAAAACCAAGAACCATTCGTATTCGTATTCGCATTCATATTATTACCCTGTGCATCACAAGGCAAAAAGAAGAATAAAAAAACCAGGAAACTGCTATTCAACTTCATAAATGCACTCCCTGCAAAGTGGGTAATGCGTTTTGGATACAAAAACATAAATGCAGCGTTCCTCTTTCAAAATTTTTAACATTTGCTCATACATGAAGAGGTTAATACCTCGGAACTCAGTTTGTTCTAGATGTCCAACAAAGGTACGTACGTTAAGTGTGATATGTGTTTGACGTGGGTACGTTAGGTTCATCTTCACGAATGCGTTACTGTAAATTGATTAGTATAGCGAAGTGGGTTCAAAGGCCATACCCGTATATACTTCACTAGAGATAAAAGAAAGAGCATTCCAATTCAATTATATTCAGATAATTACTAATTGTTGTTGAACGGTTGAAGAACGTATATTTATCTGATAATTAAACTACCATTCTTTTTAATTTGAATAAAGATTTATTTATACACACAAAATCCTTAAATTTAGAGTACAAATTAAAAAACAAATGTAATTACGTAATCCAAAATGCAACAAAATTTTGGTAATAATTCGTGTAAAAAAAAATCAAAAACAACAGTAATAAACGAAACAGAAATGAGTTACAGCAAAGGACTCTTACAATCTTAGAAGATTCGTCTATTTATTATTTATAATAATCTTAACTATTTGAAGACAAATTAAAAAAAAAAAAAGAAAAGGCAACATCATTTTCAAACCAGATACGCGGTCGTTTTCTTTACGGTTATGACTTCAATTTGAACCAATTAAGAAAAGCTAGTGAAAATAAGCTAATATATTATTATAATTAGATAATCCTTCTAGGCTTGTTTGTTTACCGAGAAAATGCATGCAGGAGAAGAGGAAAAAAAATGTTCAATTTTGAACTATTGCAGAGAACAAATAGAAAAAGGCAACTTTGTGAGCTATTATTTATATCATTTCTAATTTTTAATATTAGAAATGATGTCTAACAGACTGTTGAAACGCTTCTAAGACCATTTTCCCTCATTTCCCCTTCATTCTCTCGCGAACCAAGCAGAAAAGTTGAAACAAAGCGCCATAGAGAGAATGCAACTCAAGAATTAAAAACAAAAAGTCGGAAAAAACAAAAATGAAGAATTTAAGAGGAAAAAAGTAGACAAACCTTAAAGAAGAAACCCTAAATGGGACCAAAGTAAGTCATGAATTGAACTTATCCACATCAAAACCCTAGCTAGAGAGAGAGAAAGCGGGCTCTGCACATAATTTAGACCTATAAAACGGCGTCGTTTCAGTGAGTGAGAATGGACATTGTAAATTTCCTGCTTAGAGCAGAGGGAAGGAGAGAGAGCGAAGAGAGGGGAGAGAAGATGATAACAGTGGATTGAGAGATTCCTTTTGAATCTCTCTTGTCTGAGATTGGGATTTTTAGGTTTCTTATGGTGTGAGAGGAGTAACAATAAACTACATGCTTGTTTATTGAACTTAATATGGACCATGGTTTGATCTGCGTCCATCTAGCATCCCTTTTCTGGAAACACTGTGATTTACGGAAATGTTTTTATATATATATATATATAAATGGTTATCACGTGCATAATTAGGAAATGTTTTAGATTTTCTTTTTTAATATTTAGTGTCTAATGAGGCTCTGGAGATGAATGCCGGGAATATGATTATTTACTACAAAACCGCGTGGATATCTTTTCTTTTTCTTTTTCTTTTTCTTTTTTTGGTAATTACTGTTTATCCTGTTGAAATAGTGGAATTATCTTTGAATATGAAAATTTTATTAAAAAAAAAAAGTTTCAGCTAAGGTACTGCTAAAATTATCAAAAAAAGCACTAATTATTCTTTAAATTTTAATTTTGTTTTTAGTATCTAGGTAAAAATTAATTAATATTCCCACATTCATCATTTTTGTCCTACTCTCCTTTTTCATCCATCAAATTGCTGTCCTAATTCATTTCTTAGAAATTTATTTTTGTAAATATTAAAATAAGAGTATATTAGGAAAAATAAATAAATAAAAATTATAATTTAACTATATTAATTAAATTTTCTTAATTTACATGCAAATCAAATCATAATACAAATTATGGGATAGAGAAAGTAATCAATTATGAATATTTTTGCTAAAATTAAAATTGTTTAATGAATTCCTTAATTTTTATTTAATAATTTTAAATAATTGTAAAGGGCTTTCTATTTTCTAATTGGATTGAAATCTTGAGTCTACGATTAAGATGGCTTTATTTAAATACTATTCTACCGCCTAAAAATATATATTAATGAAAAAAAAGACTATTCTTCAATATATATATTAGGTGAATTGTTTTATTTCTATATATAAATATTTGTTTAACTTTCTTTATAAATATATGTTTGTCCCTATTCAAATTCAACTAAAGGAAATAATATTTTTTTCCTAATAATATAAAATTAATTTTGTTGTGCCAAGTGTAATTAATTAAAGAAATTTTATTTTTAGCTAATCACGCATGGTCTGATAAATTTTCATATATTATATGAAAATGAAATGTCTGAATTTGAAATCTCTCGATCACAAAGTTCTAATTAATTTGATGAGTATTTGGCACATCTCCTCTCGCTCACAAAATTATTATTAATTTGATGAGTAAAGGAACATATTATCCAAATTCGACCCATTAAGCCTCCAAATCAATAATAAAAAAAAAAACACTTTTGTAATTTTTTTTTTTAATTTGATTGGACTCACATTGAATTCAAAATCTCATAAACTAAAAATCATTTTAGTGTGAATAACAGAAGAATTATTTTAACATCATCAAGTAAAGTTTATGAATAAAACTAAATAATATATAAATAAATTTAAAAATGAAAGATGAAACTGATATGTTTAGTTACTTACAAATAATAACAAAATAAACGTGTTTTTTACTCAAATTTAAGAAATTGATGGACATATAAGTTAAGTCGGTCACATTAATTAATTATTATATTTTACAAATTAAACTTACCTTAAATCTGATAATCACAAAGGTGAGAATATAAATCAATATTTGGAAAATACATTTATATGGTTGTCAAAAACGTTCATGCGCTGCAAAGAAATTAACATCTCCTTTTTTTTCCAAAAAAAAAAAAAAAAAAGAAAGTAATTAAATGAGAAATGAAATACTACTAATAAGGATGGTTTAAGAGCATGTGGTATGATATTATTAGGAGACATGAAAAATCCAAAATAATATAAAAAATAAGATCATAACGTGTGACCAATCAAGTGGCGGTGGGTGGAGAGGTGTACCGAAGTATTATGTATGGGCAAAGTATTGCAAGATTTGAGAGAGCACCGACGATAGAGAGAGAGAGAGAGAGAAGCTGTCATCAATTTCTTTGCTGTTGAAAATAGGCCCCACCAATCAAAGGTCTCTAAGACTTAACTTAAGCATGATAATAATTTATCAATTTTGATTTTAATTTTAATTTTTTGGTTTAGGTAAGTAATTCGATCATTTCTGCCAATAAGGAAGAAAAGATCATGTGCTGTCACATGCAAATTCAACCTACAAAACCAAAATTATAATCATACTATAACATTTTAGGGAATATTAGATCCATTCATTTCATTTGCCAATTTGGATTTGGATCTCTTTTTTATATATATAATTATTATTATTAATTACCATTTGATCTAACATATTTTAGGGGACAGAATATAATTAATACAAGCTTATATTATATAAATTATCATTATATGCAAACATGATACAACATAAGAAGATACTACTATACAACTCTGTCTCATTAATCCATAGTCATCCCATTTATTATTTATTTCAGTATAATTCCTAAGCTTCAATTTGTTTGTAATAACCAAAATACTAAAAATTCTTGCCCTAGCTTTTGCGAGTCAGATGAAACGCAAAGGTTCTTAGTACTCCCAGAAAGTGTTTTTTTTTTTTTTTTTTTTTTTTTTGTGTTTTTTTTTTTTTTTTTTTTTTTTTTTTTTTTTTTTTTTTTTCAGAATTTAAATTTATATTTTTACATAAAGATAATAGTTGTTCACCATCTCACCAACACATTATTAATAGTATGGTAGGACGTCTTTTACCAACACATTATTAGTAGTTTGTTAAGTTGTTTTTTACCAGCATATTATTTGTAGTTTGGTAAGTGTAAAATGACTGTATCACTTGAAAGTAGGTGTGAACATTCAGTCAACCAAATTGAATTAAATCAAATTAACTCAATTTTGGTTTATCTAAATATATTTTTATAGTATCCAAATCTGAAATCAAATAATATAATAAATTGGATCCAAATGGAATTAAATCGGTTTAATTCGATTTGATTTAAAATAAATTCAGATAGTTATATATAGTAATTGAACCAAAAATTAAAAATCAAATGGTTTTCTATATCCAAACTAATTGATAACCAAATTTCTAAAACAATTATCCAAATCTGACGGAATTGAGCCAATTTCATTCGATTCTCAGTTAGAAATCAAGAATTACTCCCCCCTGATTACAGTTGGAAGCTCAAATAATTCCACGGGGGAGGGACTAGGTAGACCACTGACGGTGATATTCAAATTGAATAAGTATATTTAGCAAATTAGGTGGCATAATTTGCCTCGTCATATTTCACTTTCATCATACAACTTTCTTAGTTGGGCTTTGCCGATTATACCACATTCTGCCTTACCAATGCGTCATCTGAAGATTGTTACCGTGTCACCATCTTGACAATTTTAGAAGATGATTTCTCAACAAACAATTCCTACAGCCATCTAAATATACTGCTTGCTACTTTGTTGCCTATCAATCAATATTTATACCATATAATTTTATCACCTTGCTTTCTGTTCTGTTCTATTAATGTTTCACCAGACATAATGCAAGTATTGAGACTTTGATTTTGATTATCAGTGCCAGACACTTCTTCGATACAATTCGAGATATTTTTCCGACACAACACAAGCTAAATATTTTAGAAAAAGTTCTATAGTACTACGTATGTTGCCGTGTTTGTGGCACATAGCTACGAACTGAAGAAAGAACTTTCAATTAGCAGAGGCAAATTTGGCACGAGGATGCCAACACAGAACTGAAACGCCAAATAGAATAGAATAATGCTAATAATACATTCAATATCAGAAGGTTACAGAAACAGACTCCTGAGACTTCAATCTTATCAGGAATGCGATCCCTACCAAAAAATGAATCGGTTCATGAATAAATTAAGCATAGGCATCCACCAAAAATTGGAATCAGGTCGATCCCTACTTTCCTATCCACTATATAACTTTTCTCTGCATGTGATACCCTACAACTTGCTTGTAAACAAAATAACATTCATATCTAACTTTTCCCCATATCTGATTAGAGAGATATTCATATTTTAACTTTTGCTGTTCTTCTTTTTGCATTTACAAACATAACCAGGATTACAAGAAGTAAGATAAAGGACACGACCAGAGAATAGGGTTTCCACAATAAGACACCGCCTGAATTGTTGAACAAGCCCTCCAATCCTTCCTGCAGCATCAGATAAAAAGTGCCACTTGCTTCATGCAATCACATTGCCAAGACAAAAAGGGTAAATTGTTATGGTCCTATTTTTCAACTCTCAGGAATTTAAACACAACCACAAATACAACGCAGGCAAAACTTTCCAAAAGGGAACAACGACAGATTTCAGAACTACTAAAGCCATTCAGATGTGTTATGGAATTGTATTAGAAAATGTTTTAAACAAGCTACAGTTTTCACGCAAAGCATTTCTAGCGACTGTTTTGTGTCTTCTCACTCTTGAACAAATACTGGAAAGTTCCAAAGGCACCATTTTGTTGCTTTTCCTAAGTTGCAAGTATGTAATTGAGATTTTTATATCAATCCATGAAATGCACTTTGGACCATAGAATGATTTCATGTAGTCAGGCAATCATCTGAGTATTCCATGTGTATTCAAAACACACACTTCAGAAGTAATGCAAGATGACGTGCAATTTGTCTTAGCAACACATCATATAATTTTATTCGCTGATGCATCCACCAGCAGAAGAGGCACCGGTGCCAGCATAATCACTAAACAAAAATCATGTCCTTGTCAGATATATACTTACCGTACTGGCCAACTTTTGTGTTGTGCGTTTGTGTTGCTTTGCATATATGTCTTGAGCATATTTATAAAGCTCCAGGTCAAGATTGTTGAGTGATCTTATCTGCTCAAGAACTACCTTGGGAACATGATGACGATCCTGGTGAAGTTTCACATATTCAAACGTTAGCTACAACAGGGGAAGAAATTACCCTATTATATCCAAATTCATAAGGGAAATCCTAATAAATCCAATACCGATATGGTAATGTTGAAAGGGTTTCGATTCAACAAGTAAAGGCGAGGTGTTTAATCACCTGCTTTCCAAAATGAGCCTCAAATGAGAGTGCATGACTTCATTATGTTTTACATCAATGATAAAACTGAGACTTTCAGAAATAGACCAAGACAACATGATTATAACTAGAGGAAGAAATTGTAATAAGAAAAATGAACTTCCAGTTGTTAGGAAGACAATAGTAAAAGGATGCCACAGAACTAAACAAGCAAAATGAGCAGCCCGGATCATCATATAACTTCAGGAGAAATGACTGATGATACCCAACAAATAAATAGCACATGCAGCTTAGATGGAGTCAAATAGCATTCAAACAATTGAAGAAGGCACAAAAAAACTAGAAAGACTCATTCCAACAAGAACAATAAAGAGAAACGTCAACACATTATCATAAAAAGGAAATGACTGAGACATTTCCTATGCTATGATGGATATGGACAAAACCTTCTGATTTAAAAGTTTGTGCATCGATGTCTTTGAAAATTAAATAAAATTCCATCCAATGCAATGTTGGTAAACTCCATAAAACAGATACTTCTGAGGGTGCAAGCAACTTAAAATTCCATCCAATGCAATGTTGGTAAACTCCATAAAACAGATACTTCTGAGGGTGCAAGCAACTTAAAATTCCATCCAATGCAATGTTGGTAAACTCCATAAAACAGATACTTCTGAGGGTGCAAGCAACTTAAAATTCCATCCAATGCAATGTTGGTAAACTCCATAAAACAGATACTTCTGAGGGTGCAAGCAACTTAAAATTCCATCCAATGCAATGTTGGTAAACTCCATAAAACAGATACTTCTGAGGGTGCAAGCAACTTAAAATTCCATCCAATGCAATGTTGGTAAACTCCATAAAACAGATACTTCTGAGGGTGCAAGCAACTTAAAATTCCATCCAATGCAATGTTGGTAAACTCCATAAAACAGATACTTCTGAGGGTGCAAGCAACTTAAAATTCCATCCAATGCAATGTTGGTAAACTCCATAAAACAGATACTTCTGAGGGTGCAAGCAACTGTCAATTACTCTAAATCCCTTCAAAATCTCCAATAGATCACACACTTTTTACTCAACACGATCTAAAAACATACCATTGCCTAAAAGTAATGATGAAAATAATTTCTGTCGCAATGTGATCTGTTATTGCACTAGATCAATTCAATTATATTATCTGATAATTTAACAAATATCTAAAGAAGCATTGAGAAAATTCAAAGTTTATGACTTGGTCAAAAAAAAAAAAATTCAAAGTTCATGTGCACTTTAAAAAATTTGGAATCAGATCAGCATATGCAGTGTACTCAAAACTTATTTACATGAGATACAAAATGGGAAAAGAAATGTAGAGTACAAGACCAGTCAAGAGAAAAGATTATGGAAGCATACCTCCTTTGAAAAGTTTGCTGGAGCTATTCTCTTCAGAGAATTGGTACGGCGACGTGCCTGGGCCTTCCGCAAATTAGAAATGCAATCTTCATAAGCTTCCATAAGTGTCTTTACAGTCATCTAACATGAAGGACAAGAAAATCCAAGTCAAAACTTTACCCATTTTATAGCAAAAGAACCATCCATACATCCATGTACAAAGTGTCTTACATTTCCTTTCTTCCTCTCCAGATTTTCTGGAGAAGCAATTTCACTTGCCTTTTGGTCTGAGGTGCTATTCTGCTGTCCAGGAAAAGCAATAAAATGACCAGCCACTGGAGTTGGTATCCAGTTATCAAGTCTTATACCACATTCAAGAAAAGGATAGACTACCACTCACCTGATGATCCTCACTTTCAGGCTCAGAATCTGAAACTGAGGAGCTCTGCTCTGTACCACAAGTGAAAAATGAATTTGAATGGGAATGGAATAGATAATTAAATACTATTATTGACAGTGCAAAATGGGCCTGTCTAACCTGATGGATTATCAGCTGCATTCTCCATGCTAGAGTTTGATGATAATCCCTGGGAAATTACCTGTGCACCAACCACATTTGCAAACATTGTTGCAGATTCTCTATGGTCCTCTGTAAGACCAACATATAACATCTCATCCAACCTCTTCTGCAAGATTTACAAGTATCTAACATGAAAAGAGCCATGAGGGGAAAAAAATCAGAGGAACATTATAACGATAATGCATTGCTAAAAAATATGGAAAACTTATCGTGATTACCTTTGCAACTTGCAGTACGTGTTCACCAAGAGTCTTAAATTTCTGTACGCAATGGCGCACTTCATGTGATTCCGCAAAATAAGAGTTGTTTGTTAATCCTGCAACCTGTTGATCAAAACAGTCAAAAGATAAAAAGAATGAAAAATTAGACAAGCAGGAAAAAACAAAACCGACAACAACAACAAACTGCAACATACTGTGAGACTAAATTAGACAAGTACCTGGAATGTTGCTCCATTGTGGATGATATCATGAGCTATAGGGTCACTGATGTATTCATGTAATGGCATAACCATTTCCTCCATGTTGTATGGATCTTTGCTCTTAACATGATTTGAGCCCCTAAGTTTCCTGGCATCCCTCTGTCATAAAAGTAAAAAAATAAACATGCAAAGAACCAATAGTCCAGCCCTTCCACCATGAACTGTCAACTAATAGTAGTCACGTATTCTTGGATCCCCCTATATTATCATGCAGGATATGCATATAGATTTATGCAATTAGAGATAAATGATACAAGGAACAAAAACTCTCTCAAAATGGTCAAGCAGATGAATATTTAAAACATTAAACATCACAAGGTTCTCTCTCAAGATATGTTTCTCAAAGAGAAAACAATGTATGCAAATAGTTTTCGGAATAATGCATCTGTGGCAAGAAAATATGTTCAAATGATTATGAAACAGCAAATTAAGAAAATGAAATAAGAGTCCAAAGACTAAATAAAAGTAAGAGAGACATGAGACATCCAACAGCAGCTTACAAGCTGACCTACCCTATTAAATAGGTCTTCCCTCATCCATGGAACCAAATACTTCCATGGCCATATATTCAGCGTACTAATTCCACCATTCCTAGGACGCAACTGGCCAGCCATTTTTGTAGCCGAAGTTAAGTTAGGATGCACCAAAAACCTAGCCGCCACTTCAACCGAAAATTCGTAAGTACTAAATACGCGGTCAACTGGGTTCCTAAGTATGGTCACCACTGAAGTTTTCTCCTTGGGAAGCTTAGACATCATGCTATAGTCATCATGCGTAACCAACAACCTGCACTTCTGTTTGCTGCACAAATGCAAAACTATAAATAAAGATGTCATACAAAACAGTGCCAGAATAATATCCAAACCTACATAATGCAACGGAAGCAATCACATACAGCCCCCCACCTCCCTCCCCTTTCCTTTTTTTTTTTTTTTTTTTAGAGTATGCCACCTTCCGAAAACCCTATGACCAATTTTGAAGAAGAGTCCTTAGCCGCCTACTTTTGTGCTAACCCCCGCTATAGTAAATTCCGTAAGTATCATTCTCATATAAATTGTAGATAAAGAAGGATCTCATAATAATTGCCTGGGATTACTCCTCGTCAATGAAGATATAAATAGGTCACGCGACGGAGAGATTCCAAACTACCGATGATAGCGTGAACGCTTAGTACATCACTGCTATAAATTAGTTGACAGTTTCATTTCAATTGCGTAGAGTTGGAAGGGCTGCGACATACTTAAAGCTGCATCTTCTGTTGCGCATGCAAAATGCAAAGAGCTTATAAATTTATAAATGATTGTCATACTAAAACTTATGTGACCTAGAATATAATTATCCAATACCTATCATAGATGCAAGACGAGGAAGTGCAATCCACCATAAAAACGGGCAAACTCCCTCCACCTCCCTCCCCTTGTGCCTGTTTTTTTTTTCTTTTTCTAATTCAAAGGATCCAATTACAGTAATAAGTTAAGGGGAGTCCACATGCTGATACAAGATCCTATCGATTAAAGCGTCAAACATAAGTAGGCATGACCCGGTGTATAGCAAATTATCTGGTCCTTATGAGATTTCACGCAGAAAAAAAATTATACATGTTACTAATAACTACGAAATGCTCAGGAATTCTGTGGGGTACTACCTGGCCTGTACAGTAAATAATCTCGAGGTTCACCTAGACAATGGAAAACTATGATCCCTGAATCACCCAAAACTCAAATTGGGATTACCGAAAAACTAAGAGTATAAATTTCCCTTTCATAGAGAAAGGGAATAAACTGGATTTTCTGGATCAGTTCAGTCCTCAAAAAGAAGATATTCCAAATCACGTACTTCATCCACATTATCCCCAATACAACCGAACACATTTTAGTATGTGTAAAAATATAAGATACTTGCAATATACGTAGTGATTTTTTGAGTAATATAGAAAATTGTCTAGTTTTGAGATTAGAGAGAATACTGCAGAGAGGTAATTTTTTGTAGTTCTTTTCCCACCAATATCTATGGCGAACACATAAATGTGTGGAATTCATTAACCACCCTATCAAAATACTCTTTGTTGATCAAATCCTCAACTTATTCATACTTTGTAATCGGGGACATTAATATACTCCGAATGTTATTGTGTTAGACACCTGATCTTTCTCAAGAAACATGCATGTACAACATACGGCAGTATAAATTTTAGCTATGGTATCCGTAAAGAAATTAGTACTAGGAGCTCTTATCTGTTCACAAGGAATATAAATTGTAAACTGAGTGCAAAACGAAAGACTGATTAAATATCCAATGATAGTAGAGTGCGCCCGCGCTACCATAGTCTCTGGGAACGACATTGAAAGGAGATAAGCACAGACTAACACAAATCTCACGAAGCTATCGTTGTGCCTTGTATCCATGTATTTGAAAAACTAATCTTGTTCAATGAGAAGGAGCTCATATGCACCCAGTTTGAATGAAACACAATTTAAACTTTTTCACAATGGCTGCAAATACAATAGTTGGTCTAGGGATTTGAGGAATCGAGGGCAGTATTACGTTATAGTAACATGCAACCCACATATTGAATCTGGTTCAATAAAGAAAGCCTGATATTGAGTCCAGACCAAATAATATATTCCCAATTAAAGTTTATATTTATTATGTTGGGACGACTTCAGATTAAATTTAAGTTTTCTACAACACTCACATACACCCGGGAGAGACGGTACCCCATGTGAAACGAAGCATATCTCCATAAATGCTAAAAGAAAACTGAAACTTCGAGCACCAAAGTCAGTTATGGGCCAAGAATCCAAGGATGTGCTTCGGCGAATTAGAATGATGTTTCACTTATAATGTTTGCGTTCCCTTACTAAAACCTGAACCAAGAAGGGACAAATCCGAGTACAAGGCATTTCCTTTTTTTTTTTTTTTTTTCTGGAATTACAGTATACACATGCTGTTACATATGATTAAAGGTCAAAAGTAGCATGCCTTTGCATTACTCCCTAGATTTACAGAAAAAAATTTACTAAATCAGATGTGAATCTGTGGTACTTGGGTACAGTAGTATCCATGGTTCCACCAGAAAGGAAACACCCTGTAAATCAGTGTTAGAAGTAGAAATTTCCTTTATAAAAGGAAAAATGGATTTCTGGAAACATTCAGCTCAAGAAGATATCCAAATCTACTCATCCACATTATCCATACAAGAACACATTTTAGTTGAATAAAAACTAATATCTAGTGATTTTTAAAAAATGTCAGTTCAGATAGAGAGAAATTCATTAGTCCACAAACATGCAAACATAAAGAGGAATACATAAACCTACAATACCTTGGATCAAACCTCAACTTATCATATGAACGGGGACATTCCTCCGAATTATGGTACAACTTTCTCAAGAAACTGCATGTACAACATACGGCAGAAATTACTATGGTTGTAAGAAATGGTTAGCTCTATCTTCAAGTGATTGTACTGTGCAAATGGAGAATTACCAATGAAAGTAAGTGCGCCCTCCTGTTCTGGGGACATGAAGGAAAAATAACAAATCTCGAAGCACGTGTTTGTCATGTTTAACTTCTTGTTCAAGAGAGGCAACAGCCCAGTTTTTGACAATTTTTTCACAATGGCTAAAATCATTTTTGATGGGAGAGGCACTTACTAATACAGAAACAAGAAGAATCGCAAAAAGAATGTTATCAGCCAAAATTCCAATTAAATTTTTTTGGGAGATTAAAATTAAGCTAAAACTAAAACCCGGAGATACGTACCCAGGACAAGAAGCACCAAAAGCAAAACGAACAGCAGAGTAGGATCCTTCCGCATATTTCCTACTACAAAACCTGCCAAAGCGGACAATGTCAAGCATGGAAGAAGGCATCAACAATAAAATAACATGGAGAAATAAGCTAAACAACAAAATCACTTCTCTTAATTTTTATTACATTTCTGCCTCATTTAGATTAATAACAGCAAATATTTCTCCAAATAATAAAATAAAGAGCCAAAAATATCTTTCCTTTCCTAACAAAATCTACCTAATGATTCAATAAATGTTACCCATTTCTTCTCAATCAACTTTCTCATTTTTTCCCTCCAATTAAACTTAACAGCACACGGTAAAGAGCTTAAAATTGGAGCAAAACAAAGGCAATTATACATTACAAACCAGAAATGGAAAAAAAGCACCAGCGACCAAAAACCCTAATCAGAACGAAGAAAATAAACTTACACGAAAGACAAACAGAAACAGAAACCAAAATAAATAAATAAATAGACATTAATTATAATTTTAAAAAAAGAAAACAACGATTAGTGGGCTACCTGTATCGAGTTTAGGGATCTCGTGCTCATAAATTGGTTTCAAGTCAGTGTTGGAACTCTACCAGACAACACTCGAAATCCGTTAGGCCCCACACCAAACAAAATCACAATTTTCCAGATACGGTTGCTCGGAATTGTCTCGCCATCCAAACAGAAAAAGGATACTTTTTTCCAAGGAAGGCAGAAATTTTTCCCTCGGCTATGCTATGTTGAATTCTACCTTGTAATTGAATCATACACAGATTCAAGGAATTGTTTATGAGTAATTAGAGAAAATGATTAAAAAGTTATCATTGCAATTTGCAAGTCAAAGCGAATGGTTAATTTGTTAAACTCTAATATAATTAGTGGGATTTTGTTGTAATCGGAAGGTCAAATAATTTAATTAGTCTTTGTTTATTTATAATATTTAAATACAAATGATAAAAATATTTTAAAAAATAATTTAATTGTCAACCAAAAAAAAATGATGCATGATCTCCTTTTCTTTTTAAAGTTAATTGCCAAAACTTATTTTTAAAAAAGTTTAAAATTAGGAAAGAAAATTTATTTTAAAATATAACAATAATTATAAAGAAATTACATTGTCATATCTTTGATTGGAAAAATAATTAAATATAATATTTGGTTCTTAAGCCAAAATCACTTGTGTACTATTAGATTTAATAATTACAATATTAATCATTATTTGTTTTGGTCAATTCTTAAGTTTCATATCAATCTATCATTTCAAACAGAAATTTTAAATATATGGCAAAACTAAATTGGACAATCAGCTCTAACTTGAAGTGGCATCTTTACAAAGATTTGGCTATCAAATCTAATGATATTTACAACATAATACATTGTCAATTTCATTGAATAAAAGAATGAATTTCCATGGTTGAGCTGAGCCTCTAAAGGAAATGACATAGACAGTGACAATCATGAGTTCAGTAAAACTGCTTTGGAAGCATCCAAATGGTTAAGCCGGCAAGTTCCGAGCAGATACTCCGGAAGCTCCTCCGAAGTATTTCCCTACAAGAGAGAGATTGGAAGATCATCAAGAAATGTGACATTGGACTAAGAAGCTATAGGACACGACATGCACAGGCCTAAATGTGTATCGTCCAAAAATTTAGCATATGATACACATGTCTGTCTAACACATATCCTATGGTGTCAAGGAAGTGAGAGGTACAAACATTCACACATAAGTAGGGAAAGAAGCGGGGCGGGTACCCGAAATTTTAAGCTACCCATTTTCGTAAATGTTTAAAATTTTATCATTTATACCTAAATATCTATTTAAGTACCTATATTCGAACTCATTTAAGTTGACTACCTATACCCATCTAAAGCCCGTTTAAAATACCTCTTAAACGGATAGGATATCCACAAATCTTAAACTAGCTAAATGTAGACTTATTTAAACCACATTTCTTTTGCAGTAAAAATGATATGGATATGTATTTTGTAATTATCCATATCATTTTTAAATGCATCGGAGCTGGGCGGGTACCCTAAAATACATGTACTGCTTCCATCCCTACCCACAAGTGAAGCCCAGGTGTTTCGTATGTAACAAGTCACTAGTATTGGTATTTTAAGGGAAAACACACTCATTTTCCCCACAGAATCTTGCTTAGGTTCAGAGACTATTGATATTGAAGAGCGAGGATATTTGTTGGTTTGTGATCAAAATCAGAAAAGAATTAACAATTCAACATTGTTTATTTGTGCCCTTGTCTGAGAATTTAATTTGTATTACCTGTACTAAAAATGCCATTTCAATAACCAAATTGCTGAGGTAACCGAGAACGAGACTGACCACTCCCCTTGCAACCGTTGATGACCCAATATCGACTCCAAGCTGAAATGATGTTAAGATTCAGAAATTAGCTGAATAAAAAAGATCAATGACAGATATATGTTGGATCAAAGCACACATGATTACAGTTTATTTGAAACAGCAAGGAGAATCTGGTACACCTGACAATTTCAATGTTACTACTACAAATTATATAGATAATTATTCTAGCAAGTTTACCTCCAGGTAGTTATTTCCACGAAAATAATTAATTTCCAGTGCTTGGCCAATCAGGCAAGCTTTCTTTCCTACACTCTGCTTGACTATCCATGAACCCTGAGAAAATAAATGGAAATTGACATAAGCAAACCATAACGTCTTATCTTGTGGAAAATATATAAGAAGAATAATTGCAATGCATGACTATATATTATGCTTTCATCAAAAGTTGCCGCATAAATAAGGATCATGGCAGACCTCAGGTTTAAGTATTTTTACAAATAAAATGATATCAAATGCACATGCAAGATGAAAGGGATAACCCAAGTCATTGTACCATTTAAATCAACAATTAAAACCCAGTAGAAAGGAAGGTAAAAGAGAAACACTTTTGGTTTTCTTACTGAAAAAGATAAACAAGAGAAAGTATCACTATAAGAATATTTCTGAAACATGGGTCAGAGAAAGGCCCCCTTTTACAGTAGATGTATCACAATAGCTCAGTTGTTCTAAAGCGACAATGATTTTATTCGTAATGAATGAACAGGTGCTCGGTCATAGAAACAAAGCAAGTTTATGCCCAGAGCTACTAACCTTGGATATGTAAGGTATGAGCTTAAACCTTGAATTTCTATATGCATCATCCCCCTTGACAAATCTCTCCAGCAACGGTGCCTTTTCCAAAGGTATAGTCATCATATAGTATAGGGCAAGGCTATATGTAGTTGAACCTGGTACCTGTTTCATATTCAAAAATTGAATCTTTCCAATGATAAATGATAGATATGAGTAGTCGTTGGGATGATGGTCTGGCTGAGTATAACAGAATACCAAACTTACTTGTATGTTTATAATGAAGAAGAACTCTGGTCCGCCCTGTGCAGCATATTTCTGCAAAAAAAATCTTGTTAAGTTTATTTCTAGTTACAAATGTCATGATGCAGATGCAGGAGGGGACAGCTCAGCTATACATGATCAAAACTAGACAAAATTAATCACAAGGAACTAAAATATTACCTGAACAATGCTCCCTGGACGACCTGCAAGATCATCTTCTCTCTTGTCAGATCTTAGCCAGTCTGCAGCAACCATTTGCATCAAAGTGCCTTTTGCCTTAACCTGGAAAAAACAACAAAGCAGAGCAACTCTATAAGATTCAACTCTTAAAATCACCTCCTCAATTTGGGAAGGAAGCCCAAACCTGAACAATTGCCAAAACCTGCACAGATTTTGACAAGGACAAAGCTGGATTGAGAAATTAAAAGACTGCCAAGCAGCATGAATGTATTATTTATAGAGAAGTAAAAAAAAATTTGACATTTCCTAGGCCATGGAGCATGTGACTTGAATACTATGATTGACATACTATACACATGAGAAAGTCGAAATATATAAGCCTTGAATAACGTTAAGGCCAATTCAATTAGTGGCCACGATCATCATGTTTGGCTAAACATTTCAGCATTTTGTGATCAACAAATAGTGCTTGGTACCTTTTTCTGGTCTTCAAGGTAATTCTTTCCACGGATTAAAAAGCTAGAAGGATCAGCTGCTGTCCAACTGGAAGGCATAGTACAAGCTGGGTCTTTCGGAAGAGTAGTTCCATAGCAGCACGAGATACTGTCTTCCCTTGCCATCTCTTGCAAGTCCACATAACCCCTCTTTTGAACTGCAGCATACATGAGTCTCTAAATGTCATGAAATTGCACAACAACAAAGCAAACCCATCCGACAGAAATAATTAAGATTTGCAATTAATTTATTAAGCTCTGCATTGATCACAAAAACCAAGTTTACCAGCAAGATCATGCAATTTCTTCACAAAACCAGCAGCAGTGGATAACCTGGGTTGACGTATCTCCTGCTTTCAAAGTCATAAGAGACATGAGAATCAAAATAAGCAACATCTGAATTTGTTTAATGAAGAATACTGATATGAAGCAAAGAAAGGAAAGAATATTTTTGCCTTCATTAGCCCACACTAGCAATTAAAATGAGAAATATAGAAACTAAAACAATAAATCTGTGTTGTGAGTCATGTGCTATAATATAAGATGAAAAACTATACGGGTGTGAAAAATTAAATTATCAAACGGTTGAATACATAAAGTTGCCCCTAAACTTTACAAATTTAACCTTGTGGCCCCTTGGACTTTGTAAATGACCTATTTTGTACTTGAACTTGGAAATTTTGGTAGAACTACAGAATTTTCCACATTAACATTAATAATTTTTAAGGTTTTTGGCTTTCATATGTAAAAAATATTTATTTGATATGTAGTTAGCATAGTTTTTGGAATAATAATTTTCATATTATTCAACTTTTTCATAGGTGTTTAATTGATCAAATTTTGCAAGTTGAAGTGTTTAATAAAATAATTTTACAAATTGAAGTGTTTAATTAGTGTAATTTTATAAGTTGAAGTGTTTGTTACTTTAACCTTATGACACACTTTACTTTTGTTTTGACTCATCAAAAGTAAAGGGTGTCGTAAGGTTAAAGTAACAGAGTTTAGGGTGAAATTATGTCTTTAGCTGTACAATAAGATCAAAAACTAATTGCATGCATGAGTTTAGACATCCTTGACAAGATAGATATCGACAAGAAAGTCCCTTAGCTACCAATTCTAGGTACCCCTTCCATGAAATAATTATGAATAAATTTGTTGCAAATGCTACCTGGGTGTATGTTTCATGACCAAAATCATAGCTCCACCCATTTTCTGATAATTCATGATCTGTGGGTTCTGGAACATCAAAAAACTCATCAGCAGCATCATCAAGGCCCACTAGGCTGGCATGTTCTGATGGTGTCTTCTCTACTTCTTCACTTTGATACCCCTTAATCTTCCCATCTTCAACCATAGTATCCTCTTCACCCAGATGCAACTTAACATTTCTTGTCAACTCTCCTGATGAGAAATCAGAGGAAGGGCAATTTCCCAATTTTGCTCTGAACAACTCTCGCAAAGCTGCAAATGCCAGGGAATCATAATATGTGAAGAACACAGGAAATGAAAGAAAGAGAAATCTTGTAATATTTGAAGATTACCAGCAACTCTCCCAAGCATTCTGATAGTAATAGATCGAGCTGAAGAAGTTCGTAGATATGATTTCCAGAACTTCCAGTCAATAGCAAGCATGTGCTTCACCACAGATCGTTTCCCTTGGTTTACAGGAGATATGACATATCCTCCACCTGCAAGAGAATGAAAGAGTGTTATCATCTAACTGATTTTGACTTTGGCCATCCACCAACCCCCCAGTGGGCAACCAAGTGGAACAGAAGAGGGGTATAAAGGAGGGGGAAGAGAGACAAAGAGATCAAGGTGCCAGCAATCACCAGAAGATCAGAACACATGACAT